CAGTAGCAAGGAACTTATTCAAAAGCCAAAATTATACTATTCTTATCATATTAGAATTAGAATAAAATGATATAAGAGACATTTAGATGGAATACTTTTCATTAATGAAATCAAAGAAGCGTTGCAAGTAGTGCAAACAAACTGCGAATTTTCCCTGTGGTGTGAAATGAAGAAAGATATTCACATTTGTACAGCATATATACAATCAAAAGAACTTTATTTAAGAAAAATATGAATGCCACTGCACATGTATATAATATTAAAGAAACACAAAAATACAGTATAATGAGAAATATAATCTTACAAGGAGAATAAGGACATAACAAAACGAAACTTAATGGGTGTGATAATCAACAATCAACGCATATAAACATACAAAAAGTCAACAAACGTATATATTTTGACAGTAGGGTATGTTAAACAATTTAAGGAATTTATGTGAGTGAACATGTGAAAGGAAACTAATATGGTATAGTTACCATGATGCCAGTACAGTTGACCAGTGAATCTCTCCGAAAAATGTTATACAAGTAGAAAACCCACATTCCGCCAGTGACCGTAACATACACTAATTATTAGAATATTTATATAAGCTTCAATCCGGTACAATCAATCTACCAATATCAAAAAATGGAAACCGCATTAGGCAATACACTAAATTAAATTAACAATAACGAAATTAAAAATTAAGTAAAACAAATGTATTCATTAAGTTCATTATTTATAAATGCTCTCATCACAAGAATTAAAGTAATGAAATAACTCAAGAACTTCGAGAAATCAGTTTCGTGTCTACAACAATTGATTTTGTTATGAGTATACTAACTAACACTGGATATAGAAAAAATAAAACACGTTAATATTTTTCACATGAATGGATGTAAAATAAATCAAGAACAATCCAAATATGGTAACAAATTAACTAAGGACTGGGGAGCAATAAACAATTGAAAAAGTCTGTTTACGCCATAAACCAGCAATAAAAAAAAGACAGAATGTGTTCAAAATGTCATGTAGTAGAAGATGCACCGTGATGAAATATAATTTATTTAACAAAGACAACATAAAATAGTTCAATAAACGGCAAATTTGATAACATAATTTCAATTCAAATTCGAATCAAAACACCACAAATTATATAGTTGCATTATCACATCTTAAGCGAAAACAGGATTTAAACAAAACAGTGTTTTCTACATTTTGATTTATAGTATTTTCTAATGAATGGAATCTTTTATTTCCTAACGATTGAACAGGATCTGATATCCTTTAGATCCACGATGAAACAATTATTCGAATGATACAATGTGTATGTGATATTGG